GAGAACTGCGTAACCCATTCACGGTGCCAGAAATAAAAATCTTTGGGTTCATCCTCCTCATAGTTTTGACTACCTCGTCCCTTGTGCTATTTATGGCTATGGTTTCATGACCAAGATTCTTCATCCGGAACATGCAGTTGATGATGAGGACTTCACCCTCCTCAATGTTAAGATCCTCAATTTTAATGGTCTCCCATCTTGAAGCGGCAATGCCCTGATACTGAAAAGGTACCTTGAACATGTTTGCATAATCAGCCAACCGCTTCCCTGTCTCCTCAATCATTTCACAGGGGCGTAAACCTGGCTGAGGAATGTCTATACCTGTGATCCGAAGCTTAGGGGCTCCCTCTTCTTGCTTTGCAAACCTCTGAATCATTAATGGCCACTGAAAGCCGAAGCCGATCCCGAAGTCAATGATGTGCACTCTTGGACGCCCTTGTGAGACATCAAGAATAGCTTGGTTGGCAAAGTGGTATGACGCCCTATCGAAAGGGCAAGATTTAATAAAAAGGCTGTAAGCCTCTAACCAGTCTGTTGTACTTGTTCGCTTTTCCATGAGATTTTGATAAACCTGACTCCCGGTCCCAGCTAAGCGTGCCTCGAGGCCATCCACCAAGTAAAATGCGAGTCTCTGGGTACAATTACCATCTGGTGAGGAGTGTTGCCTTATCTTCTTTAGGATTTCACAGGCCAACAGGTGGTTGTCTTCTGCCACAGCTTTTGCACAATTGATGAGGAGATTCCTGAGATCAACTAACTCTCTCCTCGGTTGCTTCCTCTGCCATAGCTTCAGACGTCCTTTGCTCCGGCCTTTCAGTGAGTTATTGTTTCCTTCCCCTGCCATCCTTTCTTGCAGTCTTGTTCTTCGGTCGAAACTCTTCCGACCATAGCATAGCAGAACTCGGTCGAAATTTTCGTTTCGAATTATGGCACAAGTTGTGATGGCATGATGTTTATTGCTCCTATCTTGAAAGATATCCCAGCCCCTTTGGTCTGCCACCTGAAAGACTGCATTTTCGCTCCTCTCTAATACTTTTACCTTCGTAGTCAGTTGGGAAATATAAAGTACATCATTCTTTAAATATATCACCAGCTTATCAATACTTGGAGCAAACATCTTTTCCTCCTCGACACCTCTCTGACAATGCAAGGCAGGGAAGCCATATTCGGAAGTCCATCCAACACTTACCAATGGATGGTCTGGTAGAAAAAGACTCCTATTGCAGGTATATGGACTCAGCGGGGTTGCTAAGGGCTGTAACACATTGTAACTGGAATAGTCATTACTGAAGCTAGTGGTCCTGAGCCTCTTGTAACGTCTGGTCCCACTCTTATCAGAGTTTTCTGGTTTGTTGTTGCTATGCAATGGCGACCAGTTAGTAGCCGGCACGTATACCTCCCCAAGAATGTCACGAAATGGCTTCTCAGCAGCCTGGAGAGCAGCCTCCCCTTGGCATATGTCGACCCTCTCGTCGACGTCTTCCATCATCATCTGGCTTATGTAGTGAAGAGCATCGTTTGATCTGATCTGGCGGTGCTCCGGGCTACCCCCTGCAGCAATCTGAACTTGGTTTTGTCCAAGGCTGCTGTTGACGCTGCAGAACCCAGGGTCAGTGACTCCACCAAGCAGATATGTGCTTGGTTGGTTGGCTGGGTTAAGAACTGTGGAGTGTGGACCACTCAGGTCGTAGTTGTACACGGTGAGTTGCTGCTCGGAAGAGGAATCACCATCGTATGGTTGGTCGGTTGCTGCGATACCGTCCAGATTGTCACGGAGAGGTTCAATCGCCATTCTGGAAAGTCTGTTTTCCACCTCAATATGAGATCTATGATTCTTCTTTGGCCCGCAGCAAATGCATCAGCTTGTTTCCTGGAAGATGGAAGCTAAATTAGTAAATTGTATGAGACAACAGTCCACCTTGCTTATGTGCTACAATCTAGAATGCCAGTAAGACGGAATTCTGCTTCCCTCGCCCTCTGCTTCTTGCTGTTTACTAGATATTCAGCTTATGATTGTTTTGCCATGCCATCAGTGGCGGAGCTTGACAAGGTTAGCAAAAGCAGGGAAGCACAAACCTTGGTTATTGAACAGCAGCACCAGATCCAATGCTTTGAGAGGAGTAGTGAGGATGTGGGCTATGAAAGAAGAGTAGTGTGACTGTGGTGTAGATTTATACTGTATTTTTGTTGTTCCTCTACCTTTGTTGCTTCGTTCCCAACGTCAGGCATGGTTATTGTGACAGAGAATGAGTCCAGAATACAGCAGTTATCCTGTCGATTAGTTCTAGGCCTGGCCGCCACCAGACCTATAAAAAAAGGTTTATTAGGAGCGCTTGCATGGGTTTCAACATTATTAAGGTTCCCTAATTGAATTGTTGAAAAATCCGAGGTAATCCAAAGAAGGGATTGACTATTCGTCACCCTGGGTGAGGAATAGTTATTCTTCACCCCCTCTATTTTAACATTAATGCACCGTAATTTTATGTTCTGTAAATTTTGTCTTATTTCATATGTAAAAAGAGAATGTAAGAAAATATATAATTGTTGTAAAAAAATATTTTATGTTAACTAAAATTACAAACGTAAAAACATAGTGTAAAATATACTCCCTCCTTCCATCTATATAGGGCCTAATGCGTTTTTCGAGGCTAACTTTGACCAAAAACTAAAGCAATAATATATGACATGCAACTTACACAAAGCACATTGTTAAATTCGTGTGTGAAAGGAGCTTTCAATGATATAATTTTCACATTGTGCATGTCATGTACTATTAATCTTATCAATAGTCAAACACGGTCTTAAAAAACGCATTAGGCCCTATATAGATGGAAGGAGGGAGTACATAAAATGTAATTTTTCTAGTCTTATGACCTATATTTTTGTTTTCATATGTCAAATTTTACGTAGTGAATCAATATGAATGTAAATATTTGTATTCCAAATGTAATTTATTTTTGAAAGATCGTAAGATTACCTCAGGTGAAGAATAATTTATTCTGCACTCTCGGTGATGAAAATGCTCAATGGAGCTCGGCCTCCATGGAGGCCAAATTTGAAATGATCAAATTTCAAATTTGCATGTTTCAACTTTTTTAAAAAAATACAGATATATTTAAAGACATAATGCACAAGTGTGTAAATTTTTAGGATGAAATAGGTGAAAATGAGTGATACTAAAAAACAAATCTGAGGCTTTTCAGTAGATGCACTATTCATCCTCAAAGTCCATGAATTTATTTCCTTTTCTTGGCACATATCGTAGTTCAAGGTATTTCATCCTAAAAGTTTGCACACATACACATCATTCACATCCTTGTTTATGCCTTTGGTCATCACGGTAATATATATTTTGTCGCAATGCACTGACATTCAACTATGATATCAAGTAATTCTTCAGCGATTCGTCGATGATATTGCTAAGTGTTGCTTGTAGCAACGCATGGGCATTGTCCTAATAATTTGTAAAAGATGTGTAGAATATTAAGTTAGTCCTTGGGATTTGAACTATGTGACAAATTTCTACATCAGCAAAAATCCTGAACATAAAAAGTTGTGTATGTCACAATTAAATGTAGGAGTATATGATAGAGGATTCTCATGCATAGGTCGAACAGATGCTAGTGGATCAAGCTAGTAAATTTACCGGTTATAACAATTTTTATGATGTGGAAGAACACTTAGATAATTAGAAGTTATTCTTTTTGAAGATCACTCTCAGGTATATAGGGTTATGAGCTGGCATGATCAGGTGGGCCTAACGTGACACAGCCCAGGGCCCAGGCCCAGTTAAAGCACGACCCAGCAGTTCGGCCCCCTCTCTCCTCTTGGATTCTCCCTCCTCTCCATGGCCGCCAAGAGGAAGCTCCGCAGGTCACCGCCGCCGCCGGCGAATGCGAAGGCGTAGGCGAAGGAAGAAGACGCGGTGGGGCTCTTCTCTGCGCGCTCCTTCACCCGCCTCCAAGGTATGATTTTCTGATTTTCATTCTTAGTTTAAGAAGTACTCCCTCCGTTCTGAATTACTTGTTGCAAGTATGGATGTATCTAGATGTATTTTAGTCCTAGATACATCCATTTCTATGACGAGTAATTTGGAACGGAGGGAGTACTACTAGAAGTTTGACACAAGACATGTTCAAAACGTCACCTACCTAGCTAGTTCTGATATGGAGAGAGTAATGAGTATGTGAGCATTGGTGCATTCTATTGGATTCCAGTTTAGATTAAGTCCAATTGCCGTCTTCAAATCAGAACCTAGAAATGACAGTCCTTGTCACCAGTTTTGAGCGGTAGGCAGTGCAATAATCTGCACTTTGCAGCAAATCCAGTGTTTCCACTAATCTCATGTCTGGTGGACCCAATACAGTTTGTTCACCAGGAATTAAAAAGAACGACAGAAGCAAAGTATTTTACAGTCACCTTTTTGTTCACTATACAAAACAATGACCAGCAGACCCAGCTAGGGGCTGAAGAACTAATTCGGAAGCACTCACCCACGACACTGTGGAACATGGCGAATTCGGGGCTTGATTGCGAGGAACTTGGGCGAAGCTCAGATAACACCTTCAGGACCAATCAGGAACACTGGCGGCTAGGGTTTACCCCAATACAAGCAGAATAGTCTGGAAGTCTCTCGAACCTTGGCTTTATAGCCTTACAAACGGGGTAAGAACGAAAGATAAGGTAAAACAGAGTGGTTAGCCACTGTAGCCTTTGCCGGAAAGTTGAAGATGTCTTCAACAGCATAAAGAGCATGATTGGTTTGATATCAATATTTGGCTAGCCAAATGTTGGCATTGCCAAATATTGGCAATACCAAGACTTGCCAAATGTTGGCAACTTTATGTGAGATAGGCAAGACAACTTGTTACCCAACCAATGAGTAACTAATATTTGGCACAATACCAAACATTGGCATGCCAATTTTGGGCACCAAACCAATTATGCTCAAAGTACTTATCATCATATATAATCTCTGGAAAGGTAAAACTGTTTGAATCTTACTTATCATCATATGTTTCGTTAGGTTTCCATTTAGATATAGCATAAAGTACCCTCCCTTTCCATCCTTGTAGCAGCCAACCGCGATCCTCGACAACAAAGAATTCCTCATGAGAAAGTTTGTTCTTCATTTGTACTATGTTCTTTAAGATGGCTGGATCGACAGGAAGCGGCTGGAACCCAGCCTTGAGGCACCTTGCCTGCCACTGCCTGTAACTTTCTGGCCTCTCAGTTCTTTCTGCACCTTCACATGCTATGATGTTAAGTGCATCCTGCCCAAATAGGATCTTCTCAATCATCTTTCTTGCTTTGTTATCCCGTGGAGGAAAATTTGCATCTAGCATGTCAAACAGTGAAGAGTAATGGAACATAACCTCTTTGAAGCGTTGTATGAAGAAGGGTGAACAGCTTAACCCATTCACGGTGCCCAAAATAAAAATCTTTGGCTTCATCCTCCTCAGAGTTTTGAGCACCTTATCCCTACTATTTACGGCTTCGGTTTCATGACCGAGATTCTTCATCCGGAACATGCAGTTGATTATCAGAACCTCATCCTCGTCAATGTTAAGATCCTCAATTTTGATGGTCTCCCATCTTGAAGCTGCAATGCCCTGATACTGAAAAGGTACCTTGAACATGTTTGCATAATCAGCCAGCCGCTTCCCTGTCTCCTCAATCATTTCGCAGGGGTGTAAACCTGGCTGGGGAACGTCTATACCTGTGATCCGAAGCTTAGGGGCTCCCTCTTCTTGCTGTGAAAACCTCTGAATCATTAATGGCCACTGAAGGCCGAAGCCGATACCGAAATCAACAATGTGCACCCTTGGTTGCCCTTGTGAAACACCAAGAATTGCTTGGCTGGCAAAGTAGTGTGACGTCCTGTCGAAAGGGCAGGATGCATGAAAATGGCTGCAAGCGTCTAACCAATCTGTGGTACTTGTTCGCCTCTCCATGAGGTTGCGATAAACCTGACTCCCAATCCCAGCCAAGCGTGCCTCGAGGCCATCCGCCAAGTAAAATGCTAGTCTCTGAGTACAATCACCATCTGCTGAGGAGTGCTGTCTTATCTTCTTTAGGAGTTCACTGGCCACCAGGTGGTCGTGTTCTGCCACAGCTTGTGCGCAATTGACGAGGAGAGTCCTGAGATCAACCAACTCTCTCCTCGGTTGCTTCCTCTGCCATAACTTCTGATGTCCTTTGCTCCGGCCTTTCATCGAGCTCTTGTTGCCTTCCTCTGCCATCCCTCTTCGTGATCTTGTTATTTGTTCGAAACTCTTCCGGCCATAGCATAGCAGAATTCGGTCGAAATTTTCATTCCGGATTATTGCACAAGTAGTGAAGGCAAGATGTTTATTGCTCCTTCCTTCCAAGATATCCCAGTTTTCGCTTGGGTCACTTGGGTCTGCCACCTCAAAGATTGCATTTTCGCTCCTCTCTCCTACTTTGGCACCTGTAGTCAGTTTGGTAATAGAAAGTATGCCATTCTCTAAATATATCACCAGCTTATCAATACTTGGAGCAGCCATTGTTGCCTCCTTGACACCTCTCTGACGATGCAAGGCAGGGAAACCAGATCTAGAAGTCAGTCCAACACTTATAAATGGACGTTTTTGTACAGAGCCAGTATATGGACTCAACGGGTTTGTTAAGGGCTGTAACATGCTGTAACTGTAGTAGTCATTACTGAAGCTAGCGCTCCAGAGCCTCTTGTAACGGCCGGTCCAACTATTATGAAAGTCACCTGTTTCGTTGTTGCTATGCAATGGCGGCCAGTTAGTAGCCGGCGGGCATACAGGCCCAAGGATGTCACGGAATGGTTTCTCGGCAGCCTGGAGAGCAGCCTCCTCTTGGCACACGCCGACCGGTGTCTCATCAACGTCCTCCATTAGCATCTGGCTTATGTAGTGAAGAGCATCGTTTGATCTGGTCTGGCAGTACTCGGGGCTACTACCCCCTGCGGCAATCTGAAATTGGTTTTGTCCAAGGCTGCTATTAAAATTGCACAACCCAGGGCTGGTGGCTGCAGCATGCAGATATGTGCTTGCTCCAGTGGTTGTCGGCTGGGCCAGGAACAGCGGACTGCTCAGGTCATAGCTGTCCACGGTGAGTTGCTGCTGGGAAGAGGAAGCGCTGTCCAGATCGTCAAGGAGAGGTTCAATTGCCATTCTGGAAAACGTCCTCCTATTTCCACTTCAAATGGAGGATTCTCCTGGCAGAACTGAGCAAGACGCATGCGATTATTCTTTGCACCAAAGTAAATGAATCAGGTTGTTGCCTGCACACACACACACACAAAAAGAGAGGGAAATTTAAGCTTATTTATGTGAGACAATTTTTTTACTTCACATTGCTCATCTGCTAGTCTGGAGTGATCCAGACTCCAAAACGGAATTCTGCTCGGCGAGCACTTATTATTTTCCATCATCTTCAGCTTATGATTTTTTTGGCATGCCATACTGATGAAAAAGGAATTTTCGAGGGCATGCGGAAACGAGCATGACTAGTTTACCTGGTTATAAACCTAGAATGTTTAGCATCAATATAACAGAAAAAGGACTCACCTCTGGTACTTGTTAAGGCGATTCTGAAATTACGACGCGCCTAATAGCATTGTTCCTTTTTATGTGCAGGAGGCTCGTCATCTGATCTGAGCAAGTAGAAAAAGCTTTTGGTTATTAAGCAGCAGCAGCAGGATCAGATCAGAAGCTTGGAGAAGGAGGAAGAGGAAGGGGTCTTGTTATTAAACTGAGTACTGAACTGTGGTGTCGATGTAAACCAAGTGTTTTGTTCCCAGCAACAGACATATGGTGATTGTGACAGAGGATGGTCCAGATTACAGCCGTTATCCTGTCGATTGGCCCTAGGCCCGGCTGCGCATCAGACAATTAAAGAAAGATTTTAGTCATTATCAAGGTTCCTAATTGAGCGAGACAGTTGTACCAATGTTTTAAGGAGTGTAAACACCTCTGAATTTTGTTTACAACATTGACAGCGGTGTTAACCATCATGTCATGAAAATGCACATCCAGATGCCATCTATACTGCTAGAAAGAAAAGAGACAAAATCTGTAAAAATTCTGAGGTCACTCAAAAAATAAAGGGGACACTATTCAAAGATTTCTTTTTTCTTTTTTCCTTCCACTTGATAGTTGATATATATAACGCTTTTGGTTGAATTTGTTTTAGGGTTGTTTCTTGTGCTTTATCCCGTTAAAATAAAATCCCTTTTCTATGATTATTTTCACTATATTTTGATATTGGTTTCATGGTATCATGTAAAGCGTGGTATCACTATAGTGTGTAGATATTCTCTCGGCGCAGTATATGATAAAGTAATCTGAGTCCGTGCTCTTAACAAAATAAATACTGTCTGCCCTGACGAAAATGACAGAAATGGGCAGGCAATGGTGTATTTTCTTTGATCTCCATAGAGAGAAAGAGTACTCCCTCCGTCCGGAAATACTTGTAGGAAAAATGGATAAAATGGATGTATTAAGAACTAAAATATGTCTAGATACGTCCATCTCTTTACAAGTATTTCTGGACTGAGGGAGTATCATGTTTTTGTATGAATAAGGAAGAAAAATATGATCTTTTGTTATGCTGTGAAAATGAATCTAGGTTGATGAGATACGCGGGTCACTGAACCTTAAATTTGATCCCTGATGGGATCCGGTGCTCCAGCAGTTAGGTGATACCGTGTTCCCAACTCATGAAAGCCAAATTCATAAGTTAAAACAAAATCCAAGAACATTTGTGGATGTTTGCAACACATGTTTGTACAATCTCTAAAAGCTCCAAATCAGAAACCGATCTACACATAGGGGCAAAAAAAAAGAAAAATTGATGTGCATGTAAATCACATTTGAAATCGATTTTGCGAGTTGGGAGCACAGTGTCACCACCTTCGGCAACCACCTCGGTTATGCTTGGTTCCCGGCTAAGGGCCGAGGCACAGCGCCCTGGCATTGATGCATGTGTCATTGTAACTTGTGCACCCAATATATAGCTCATGTCTTTTTTAAGGCTACTATATAACTCACATGTTGGTCATTCTCGAAAAGTTGGTCCGGTTTTTCTTAGGGGTTGATTTCATTTTATTTTGGTGATGGGGGGAGGGTTTTATTTTTCTTGGGTGAATTCTGGGCTTGACAAGGCGGGCCCATCGTGACACAGCCCAGGCCCAGCTAAACCACGACTCAGCAGTACGTAAACGCTCTCGGAAGGCGGAAAAAGGTCTCCCCTGTTTCCTCTACGGTTCGCCCTAAACCCCTCCCCCTCCCCCTCCGCGACCTCTCTCCATGGCCGCCAAGAGGAAGCTCGGCAAGCCGCCGCCGGCGGCGGCTCCAGCGGCGCCGAAGGCAAAGGAAGACGACGCGGAGGGGCTCTTCTCCTCGCGCTCCTTCGCCGACCTCGGGCTCCACCCCACCCTCTGCGCCCACCTCCAAGGTCCCTCCCTCCCTCCCCATGTCTCTGTGGCCCTATTGGTTCGGCAGCCGCCTCCATCTAGTGACTAATTGAGACTCTTAGTCTGTAACCCATCAAATTAGTGTGGAAAGAACAAAATTTCATGCCTTTCTGTCCCAAGCTGGAACGAATGGAGCATAGATTCTTGGTTTCTGTCTGCTTGGTCAAATCTAGCAGAAGAACTCACATATTTAGGTTAGATTTTGTGTATGGGATGCCGCAGTAGGATGGAGTATGTCTCTGTATCCTGCCGAGCACAGCCTGCAAGCATAGGGATGGGCTGCCAACACATTCTGCAAGAAACTAGTGTACTACTTCTTACTCCCTTCAGCTTGCTTGCTGATAGTTCTGTGGTTCTGTTTCTCTGGTGCAGATAAGATGGGTTTCCAGGGGCCGACGCGGATCCAGGCCCAGGCGATTCCCGTTGCCATGTCAGGGCAGCACCTGTATGCACCCCATCAGAACCTCATTTTGCTCAACTGCAGAAACTACAGTACTGCTTCTGTATTCAAAAATTTCGTTGTTTTTGCGCTGCCTTACTGCAGGCTTGTGAAGGCGGCGACTGGCACCGGCAAGACGCTCGTGTATCTTGCACCAATTGTTCACCTTCTCCAGATGAGGGAGCCTCGTGTCGAGAGGACTCATGGAACTTTTGGTAATGGCTCGTTGCGCTCTGCTCTTGTTCCTTTTTTTGCTGCATATACGTGGTGGATATGCTCTATTTATCATGTTTTTTTTTTGTCATTAAATCTGGTTGGTGGTTATATCTGATGGGATTCAGCTATGTTAGCAGTCTTTATAAGGAAAATTGCGGATAAGCTGATTGATATGTCGGCTGAAACATAACCGAAAGGTCCAAAAGAAACCATATCATATAACTATATAACTGAACTCTTATCAGTTGCTATATGAAGGGTCCCCGATTAAACTCGTCTATCAAATCTCTATGGAACTGCGAAATTGTAAATCACTCTAGTTATCTTGTGAAGAACCCTCAATATTCTGAATGATGTTGCTAATTATTTGACTGCAGCGTTGGTAATTGTTCCGACGCGAGAGCTGTGCTTGCAGGTTTATGGGATTGCGCAGCAGTTGGTGCATCGTTTTCACTGGCTTGTCCCTGGGTATGTTATGGGTGGTGAGAGCAGATCAAAAGAGAAAGCAAGACTGCGGAAAGGTATATCTTGTCCCATCAAGATGTTGATGCAACTTCTCATATAAAATTTTGCCTTTATACAATCTTGTATTTTGACTCCACATGTTTTCTCTAGGAATTTCAATCCTAATTGCCACTCCTGGGCGCCTTCTGGACCACTTACAGCATACTTCATCATTTGTTTATTCAAATTTGCGCTGGATAGTTTTCGATGAAGCTGACAGGTCAGCTGGTCATAAACTCATCATTTTCTTGACGTTTTTCCATACAAGATATCTTATCCTGTGGGCACAGCTCTTACTGCAATGGTGTTTATTTGTATTCATGCAGCATTCTTGAGCTAGGTTTTGGAAAAGCAGTCGAGGATATACTAGGGCTCTTGGGTTCCAGGAATGATGCTTCTGATGAGAATAAAAGCAAAACTGACCCTATGCAAAGGCAAAACCTTCTCTTATCAGCAACTCTCAACGAAAAGGTGAACCGCTTAGCCAACATAAGTTTGAAGAACCCAGTGATGATTGGACTTGATGAACAAAAGAAGCCTTCTGAGAGGTCCAGTGCCCTAGGGAAGAAGCACACTTCCTTATTATCCGATGATGAGGAGGAAATACCTGACAAGCACAACAATATAGCGGAACCTGCGGTTGATGATTTTAAGCTTCCTGCACAATTGGTTCAAAGATATGTTAAAGGTAGCGGAATCTGCTCGCTTGGAAGTTTAAACTCATGTTTGTCATGTGTTGCTTTGGTAGTTACTGCAATGCTTTTTGTTTTATGCAGTTTCATGTGGTTCGAGGCTTGCGGTTCTCCTTACCATTCTGAAATCTCAATTTGAAAGACAAGTGTCCCAGAAGGTATTTTCTATATACCATGAAGCTGTTTAACTTTCACTAGGCTAATTTTTTTTCGACCGCAAGTTTTGCTTGTCACAATGTACGCTCTGGAGGTCCTGTGAATTGAGTTAGTTTTCATCTTCCTTCTGCAGGTTGTTGTTTTCATGTCAACATGTGACGCTGTAGATTTCCACCACACTGTACTCAGCCAGCTTGAGTGGAGCCGTGGCCTCGCATTAGATACAGATAAGAAGCAAAAATTTCTTGGCTGCAAAGTGTTCCGTTTACATGGTAACATGGACCAGGAAGACCGCAAAAAGTCATACCTGGGATTCAGTTCTGAAAAATCTGCAATTCTTGTGTGTACTGATGTTGCTGCTAGAGGCTTAGACATTCCCAAAGTTAGGTGCATCATACAGTATGATTCACCTGGGGAGGCTTGTGAATATGTTCACAGGTACCTTAAACATCTCATGTCATGCATTTTTAGGTTACTGGTCTCATACTTTCTCCATAATTGTTGCCAGATTCTTTGTTCATATGCAACTGAATGAAGCAAACACACATAGTTCTTTCTCTTCATTGCTACTATCAACCTTGTATACTGTTTAGCTCTTTCTTGGGAATGCTATGGCGTTTTCTAGTTCTTTTAAAGAAGATTTGATATTATAAGCTAATAAAGACAGATTACCTCATACTTCGTCTGCAC